TCTTTTATGTTGTTAGGAATCATGGGGATATTTGAGTATTTTTTTCAACACGTATTCCTTTTAAACGATTTACTTTTTATTGATTGACTGATTTGTTTTCTACGACTTATAAAATCCTTTTCCAGGTTATTTAAAGCAAGAACATCTTATTTTATATAGTAAGATAGTTTTGTAAACAGTAATGTTTTTACTAATTAACATAGAGCTGGGGGAGAAGATGTGGATTCATACCTTTCCCAATGATATTTCAGTCTCATGGAATATACCGAACCAAACTGGCATTGGAACCTTTCTCTCCAATTAAAAATTCCGAGAAAACTATCTATTATACAAACCGCATGTCTAAGTTTACTACACCGGATATTGTCAAGCCTTCAGCCATCAAGGTACTGACGAGGCTCGACGTTGCTTAACTTCAGGAATCGTGGGGGAGCGGGTTTTTCAAAGTGATGTGGCTGAAAGGCAAATGATTTTCAAAGCAAGGCATAAAATGATACCCCTGTCAAGTAAATAAACCAATTCGATAAAAGCAGTGCGTTTTTCTGGCGTGATGTTTCTTCCTTAATAGCAACTACAGAAGACCGTGTGTGTAGATCCAATTAATTTGTGGCAGCAAACTGATTGGGTGACAGTTCCCTAAATATGCATATTATGAAGAGTGTTGCCAACTAGTAGGATCAGGTGTTATTTCCCATCTTACTGTCTATGGCTCTTAGATGTATAAATATAGCTCTGAACATTTTCAATTTAATTGAATCATAAACATATTTCATTATTTGTAAGTATTATTCAAGAGTCTTTAAAAAAAATGTCTCGCAATAAATTTCCTTTTCAGTTTCTCGTGACTAAACATTTAAAAATATTCAGTTTCTTTGTTGTTTTTATTTTATTTTTTAACGCGATGTCTTACACACTTACACCCACATATATATGTGTGTGTGTGTGTGTAAAGATTCGCTGGTATATATTACATTTATTTTTATTACAAAAACATTCAGAACGTCTGAGAAATAATTCAGCGCCTCAAATATACATTCTAGATAAAAGTAATGTTGTTTACGAATTATCAAGTTCTTTTGCGGACTGCATCTTCAACACTAATAATAGGATTATTACATCGGCCACACATGCACTACCCTCTCCCATAATTAGTGTCTTGCGATGGATAAATTTTCGTCTAAATTACGCAAAAATCAAAAATAATACTGACATCTCATTTTAACACATATATTTACCGAAATTACAAAAAATATCTTGAAAGAGAAACGACTAAATTTATTCAATAAAATCGCCATTGGCTTCAACCACGGTTCCCAGATGACTTCATAATCCCCTGCAACAGATCTGGATAGTCTCCTTGTTTAAATTGGTGAATGCTTCCGTCATTCTTTCCTTCAGTTCATCTATGTTGTCACAAAGATTTTTTTTGGTCTCTACCTCGACTGCGGCCCATATACAATAATCAAAATGGTTCCAGTCTGGGAAGTTAGGAGGTCAGATGTAAGGGGTGATGTGGTTGCCGAAATTGTCTGACAACCATAACGGGGTTCTCCAGCTTTTGTGGCATGGTGAAAAGTCCTATTGCCATACAAAGTGCCTTTCAGGAGCCACATTCTTCACCCAGGGATGCACTATCTCCTCAGGGCACATGACATCGGCTTTGTGTTGAATCTGAGACCCTCACCATCAAATTTGGGAGCTCTTTTCTTATCAGAATGATCAAAGTGTGTTTTCCGTGCTGTTTATCTTCGTAATCACCATCAAATACATCCAAATCTTTCCGAATTCTCTGCACTGTCCTCAAATTGAGGCACAAACACTCTGAAATTTGCGTATTGGAACTTCTGGCGCGAATGCCAATACCTAAAGCATACCGTTTCCAAAATTCTGGCGGAGTAAAATGCAGCATGGTTCTCCTTTTACCACAGGCGGTGAACAATTGTCCCTACTGTCCTGTCGACGAAACAAAAAAAAAAAAAAAAAAAAACCGCGCATGTCTGAAATGAATAATATAGAATGGCTACAAATTACCCATGGCTTGTGTATTTAGGCAGCAATCCTTCATTTATACATGTTTCACTAAGGATGACAGACAATGTACTAAGATTAAGCTTATTTAATTTTTCCTTTGTTCGAACAAGAGCTTTCTTTTTTGGACAGTAAGTATGCAGAAACTGTTCAAATGTTTTATAACTCCGAGCGAATTCGGATATAATTATCGCCATTATCAAGGATGATTTTATTTTGTTAATTTAATTGGGTGTGTGGGTTGTGTAATAGAGGTGTTTTCATTTCTGTACGCAGCACATTTTGGTCGTGGTTGTAGTTAATATTATTAAGTGTTGCCTTTTTATTTTTTATTATTAAATCTTCCATTATTTTTCATTTTTTTTACATGAGGATGAGGTTATTATGTCTGTATTTTCTATTACTATTACGGATGGACTCCGGTAAGTTTTTGTGTGTGTGTTTAAATGGATTCTAATTGAGCTGTGACCAGATAGGGGGAACGTACGGTGTCTTGATAGGCATGTAGTCATGTGACCGATGTAACTATTTATTAATTCAGTTTGATCATGAATACAGTTCCTTAAGAGACATTTGAACTCATATTTAATGTTCATTCGTTGTAATTTTGAATTTTGCTGGTGTGCTGTTATTTTTTTAGAGTAAGGTTAGCTGTTTTAAATTTTTTGTAGTAGATAATTAATTGGATTTTTTTCGCGTCAATTGGGGTAGTGTATTTCATTATGATATTTCTAATGTGCTGTGCTCGGAAAAGAAAATATCTCTATAACTTTAAAAACATACACACAACCCACACACTCAGTTAAATTGAAAAAAATACAATCCTACTTGATAATGGCTAAAAGTATAGCCGAAAGCGCTAGGATTTTTAGAACATTTGTACAGTTTCTGCAATGAAAGCAATTGTTGGAACACAAGGAAAATTAAATAAAATGCTTAATAGTAGTAGCATGTCTGTCGTCTTTGATGAAACATATATATATATATATATATATTTTTTTTTGTTAAAGACATTTTTATGTTTAACGTTCTTTTTATAGATACAAGTATTTAAGTAAATGCTCTGTTTATAATAAACAGTATTAAATAACATTTACCGGCCTGAATGTCCGAGAAATTTTCATAGAAAATATTCGTCCTTTGACAGGATTCGAACCTACATCCTATATAAAAATTTCTAGCAACTTGGTTGGTATAATTTTTTTTTCCCTGTCCACTCATTCATGTCATCCATGACAGACATTTTTTTTCTTTTTTTCTTTTTCTCATAATCTAGTTCCCCGTTAACAGTTCTGACGAGAGGGGACGGAACCGGTCGACTAGTGTGTGTTTTGTTTTAAACTTATCATGGCCTACAATATAAAATTTCTAGTTTTTAATGCCTTAATACGCTTTTTGTACCTTTTAAATATTTTATATATATATATATATATATATATATATATATATATAATATATATATATATATATATATATATATATATATATATATATATATATATATATATATATATATATATGTGTGTGTGTGTGTGTGTGTGTGTGTGTGTGTGTGTGTGTGTGTTCCAAAAGTCAAACTACCATTGAACACTGAATAACCGAAAAAAAGCAATAATATTTCGGTATATGACAATATATTATGTTGAAGATTTATTGGAATCGTTACAGACTGTGATATCACACAAAGGTCCTATATTATGTCGGTTCACGTATTTGCGGTTTTACCAATAGAAGACCGACTTTGGAAAAGCCTGTATAGATTTATGCTTATATATTACAAAGTATATTTTCAGGCATGCAACGATTATAGGATGAAAAATGTCAATAGACATGATAGAAAATATTGACACTAATATGAATATCAAGAGCCGAAAATCTTCTTTTAGCTTGCACGCAATCATCATGTGGGTTTGATTATAGCTTGGCTATTTATATATGTTACCTATTATTTAACCCAAATGGTTTTACGATTGGTTCATATATATATATATATATATATATATATATATATATATATATATATATATATATATATATATATATATATATATATACTCATGCCGAAGATTAATGGCGTGTATACCATGATATGGTTTTAACATGCCAGTTGGTTTTTTATGTAATTATATATATGCAACAGCCGTGCAAGTACGAAATATTCACAGACGTTACTACATAGTATAATGCGGAAACATGTGTTTATATAAAGATAATCATATTATTGACAATGTATATAATCCAGCGTTTGTCTGTTAATTACATCGATCGAAGAGTTTATAATAAATGTAATGTGATAACAACACATAAATACTCCTCGCGTGTATGTTGAGTGTGTGAGTGATTGTGTGTATATATATATATATATATATATATATATATATATATATATATATATACACACAAACACACTCACACACACGTGTGTGCACGTGGATACACATACATATACATATGTGTGCGTGTATCTGTATGTGTGTGTGTGTGTGTGTGTCTGTTTGTATGTACGTGCGTGTATATGTAAGTTTGTACTTGTGTTTGCGTGTGTATGTGTAGGTGTATGTGGAAATGTTTGCCTGTAACTAAAGCCTTCCTTCGGTGAATATATGCAACTATATTCATTGATTCACACAGGCACACATGCACACACACGCTCACGCACTCATAAACAAACACACACACACATGCACAGGCACACACACACACACACACTCTCTCTCTCTCACACACACACATATATATATATATATATATATATATATATATATATATATATATATATATATATGCAAATAATATGCGTATATGCGTGAGTGTACACACACAGACATATATACATATAAATAGAAAACAAAAAAATTAAGCGTTCATTTGAAATATAATTTAACGAAAAGCAATGTAATGTTTAAAAATAAATCACTTGGACGAATGCATGATTTAAAAAAAAAATAATCACAGTGCCTTGCCAGTCGTCATCAATGAAAATTATATAATGAGGAGAGTGGGTACGAATGATGAGAATACGGAGAGGGTTCAAATAACAGGTATGCAGAGAGACGGGTACAAATGATTGTGTGGAGTAGTGGGGGGTATAAATGTTGGTGATGCGGACATGGGTGCAAATGATGGTGATGTGATAAACATGATGGGGATTTTAACAGTGTTACAAATGATGGTGATATAGAGATTAGTACAAATAATGGCGATACGGGGAGGTTTAAAATGATAGCGATGCCGTTAGGGTTAAAAATGATGGTGATGCTGTGAGAGTTACAAATAAAAGTGATTAAGAGATGGGTGAAAATATTGGTAATGCGGAGAGACTTAAAAATGATGGAGATGTAGAGATGATGAAAAATGATGGGGATGCTGACGTGGTTGCACATGATGGCGAAGCTGGATGGATAAAAGTGATGGTGATGCAGAGATCGGTACAAATGATGGTGATGCGGAGAGTGTTAAAAATGATGGCGATGCCGCCAGGGTTACAAATGATGTTGATGCAGAGATGGGTGCAAATGTTTGTGATGCGGGGGAGGAGGTTAAATTGATGATGACGACGATAGGGTTACAAATGTTTGCAATGCTAAGACGTGAACAAATGATTGTGGTGTGAACAGGGTTACAAATGATGGTTGTGCCGACTGAGTTACAAATGATGATTGTGCCGACGGGGTTACAAATGATGGTTGTGCCGACTGGGTTACAAATGATGGTTGTGCCGACGGGGTTACAAATGACGATGAAGCGAAGATGTATATAAATAATGGCGATGCCGATAAGGTTAAAAATGATAGCGATGCGGAGATCGGTATAAATGATGGTAATGCGGAAAGATTTACAAATGATGGGTGATACGGAGAGGGTTACAAAGGATGGTTATTCGGACGGGTTAAAATTGATGATGCTCACAGTGTTATAAAAGATGGTGATGCGGAGATGGTTATAAATGATTGTCAAGCGGAGAGGTTCAAAAATGACGATGATGCCAATAGGGTTACAAATGATGGTTCTGCCGGAATGCGTACAAATGATGGTGATGCGGAGTAAGTTAAAAATTATGATGGTTGGAAGAGACAAAATATGGTGATGCCGAGAGGGGTATAAATTATGTTGATGCGTAGAGGTTTGCAAATTATGATCTTGCGGAAAGGGTTACAAATGATGGTCATGCCGAGAAGGTTACAAATGATGGGTGATATGGAGAGGGTTAAAATTGATGGGTGATGTCGGGAGGGCTACAAATAATGGTGATGGGGAGAGGATTACAAATGATGGGTGATGTGGTGGGGGTTACAAATGATCGCTATGCCGAGAGGGTTAAAAACGATGGTTATTCGGAGATGGGTACAAATGATGGCATTGCGTAGAGGGCAAAAATTACGGTGACACCAATGTGCTTAAAAATAATTGTGATGCGGAGAGCCTTAAATATGTTGGGGATTATAAATAAAAGATGATGTGGTGATGAACCGCAGATTGGTACAAATGATGGTGATACGGTTAGGGTTAAAAACGATGGTGATGCCGATAGGGTCACAAATGTTGGTGATGCGGAGAGGATTACAGATGATGGTGGTGAGGAGCGGGGTAAAAATGATGGTAATGCGGAGAGGGTTAAAAATGTGGGTGATACCCAGTGTCTCAAAAACATCGGTGATGGTGAGAGGGGGTACAAAGGAAAGGTGATGTAGAGAGATGTACAAATTATGGCGATGCTGATAGGGGTAGAAATGATGGTGCATGTAATGATTTACAGCTATTTCAGATCACATCAGATATCTTCTTAGCAGAGCACCTGAAGGCGGTGTAATGATTACCAAGCTTGTCCCGCTAGAACAATTACCACTGAACAGTGAGTTCGATCCTCACTGGGTGCTCCCTTCTTTCGGCCTTGTGCCACATCTAAGTTACGTTTGGAAAATCGCTATTTTGGCTTGGCAAAGTAATATCAATAGCAGTAATAATTACCGTCTTTAGAAATGATACACCACAGCATTTAGTATGAAATGTTAAGTGTTCAGAATTTATTGGAATGCATTTGAAAATATTGATTACTGAATATTATGTCAGTTCGAAGAACAGGATTCAGCAACAGAAGATGATAGGCAAATAAATATTAAAACAAGAGATAAAGAAATAGAATTTATACAGTCGATTCATGAAAGAGAAAGAAAGTCTTATGATATAGGTCGATTATAATCGCTGTAACGGTGTTTGATACGATCAATGTGTTTATATGAAAAGAAAGAAAAAGCGTATAGATTTCCAGTTTAAGCGTTGAGAAATCGTTTCAGTACCGAACAAGAAATAATACATGAAACAATACGTGTCGATTTGTTTTAAACATTTATTGTGTACGTGACACACACAGACGCATAACGAAAACTGCTGGAACTCCTATACAAAGTAGAGAAGAAAAGAAAGATGAAAGGACTAATCATCAGCTGTAATGGTGGTTTAACAAGAGGATCAACAAAAGATGTGCGCTACGAACTAGAGGTCTCAAAATCAAGCACTTACAGTTAAAATATCTGGGAATCTTTTTTTTTTTAAATGACGGATAATGTTACACCGAAGTCTAAAGGTGCATTTAAACAGCATAATATGCCAATGCTCTAAAGGTGTCAAAATCAAGCACGTACAGTTAAAGTGTCTGGGAATCATTTAAAAAAAATGTCGGATAATGTAACACCGAAATCCGAAGGTGTATTTTAATAGCATAATATGTCAATGCCCTAAAGGTGTCAAAATCAAGCATGAACAGTTAAAATAACTGAGAATCTTTAAAAAAAAAAGACGGATAATGTAATACCGAACTCCGAAGAAGTATTTTAATAGCATAATATCTTCCAACTTCTAAACGCTTTTATTAACGACATATTTTGTTAAGGTTTACAAAGATGCGATGGTAAATTATCGCCATTTTATATTTTTCATTTCGCGCATGCGCGTTGATATATTTTTTTTTTTTTTTTGTCGAAAGTATATTAGGGTCAGTTGGGCCCCGTCTATGAGAAAAAAACCACCATGACGCATTTTACCCCGCCAAAAATTTGGAAACGGCACGATGTACTGCTAGGCATTCGGGACGGAAGATCTATTACGAATATTTCAGAGTGTTTGGGTGAAAATCTGAGGACAGTGCAAAGGATTCGGAAAGAGTTGGATGAGCCTAATGGTGATTACGAAGGTATACCAGCTCAAAAACTCACTCTGATCGTTCTGATAAGAAAACAACTACTGAATTTGTTGGTGAGGGCCTCAGATTCAAAACAGAGGCCTACATTCAGTGTCTTGATGTGTTAGTGCTGCCCTTAGTCAAGAGAGTAGCTGGTGGAAGATCCTATGCCTGGCAACAGGACCCTACATCATGCCACTCAATCAGGAGAATCCCGTCATGGCTGTCAGATAATAGCTGCGACCACATCACGCCTTACATCTGGCCCTCTAACTTCCCAGACTCTAACCCCTTTGATTATTATGTGCAGGGAGCAGTTAAGCGAGACAGCAACAAAGCTCTTTGTAACACTGAACTGTACAGAAAGCTAGGATTATGGCACAATTCACTTAAACAAGGAGACCGTCAGGAAGAGATGCATTAGATTCTGAAGTCGACTGAAGACCGTGTCGATTTTATTGTATAAATTTACGCTTTAGTATTTCAAAATATTTTTGTGTTATTTTAGTAAACATATCTGTTAAATTTTGATGTCAGTATTATATGCATTTTTACGTAATTCAAATGACGATTTATCCATCTCACCCTGTATATGACACAGTATCCAAGAAAATAAGTATTGATATTACAAATATTAATTGAAAACTTATTTCATGTTTGTGAAATGTTATTATATAAAGAATCTATGCGACTAAACACATTTGTTTATCAATAACATCAAAGAAGACTTTACACGTGATACAGAATTAACGTCTTTTTGTAATTATTAGGTTGGTGCAAAAATAATGACGTAATAATGTCGTTTTTTGACGTATTTTTTTACGTCATTATTTTTGCACCAACCTAATACGTAGCTGCACCTTGGTTGCTAAGTGCCTCACTTCTGATATCGTTTACCAGGCAACGGAGAAAAGTAATGGTGAAATGACCTACATTCGTGCTCCTGAAATTGTGGAAATAGGATAACAATAAAACAATGTTTTCTTTGTAATTTTTGCAAATGTTTGTGGCAAGTAGCTGATAAGAATTTGAAGTGAAATTTATAATTTCAAGAAATTATTTGCATGCAACTCAGGATCTAAAAGCTTTAGTGTTTTTCGTATGCGAGAATCACTTATGATTTGATTGATTCTTTTTTACGTCTTATCAAACCATTGAAGGTTATTTCAAGCCATAAAATATTTTAGATTGTTTTCTGAGATCACAATTTAGTGATAAAAGTATTACATTAAACACATAGCCGGTGGTAGGGGCTAAGATGTCTATTCCTACCTTTTCCAAGTGTATTTGCGCGTAAGTGAATATATGTAATGAACCTAACTTGACTCACCAATTAAAAATTCTGAGTCATTATACAAACTGCACATCCAAGTTTACAGCAACTGATATTTCCATGCGGTAACCCCTCTCGGTACTGATCAGACTAGATGTTGCTTAACTTTGGTGATCATACGGAAACCGGTGTTTCAACGTGATGTAACCATAAGCCTGATAATTGTTTATGAAAAGCCGATGGCGCTCAGAAGACATCAGGGTAAATTTGTTCAAATTCTTTCCTGTTATGGTTCGGTTCCTTGTACCACGGTGATAGTCCAAGGTAGAACCAATAAAGAACTCGAACACAGGTATGGAATAACATAGATATATTACAAACAGGAATATATACAGAGAAGTAGAAGTGTTAGTATGGACAATCAGGTTTAGTCGAGAGAACAATGTAGTCTTGACCAGTATCACTATTCCAATGTCTTGCAGTAATTGTCTGAACGCGACTCTGTTTCGGACTGCCTCTGATTTGACTCTTGACACGACTTGAACTACTCCTGAGGCGCAGTATTTATTAAGTATGGAATAGTCCATTATTATTATTATGGGTAAGATCCCATAACATTTCCAGAAATCATAAAAAACTAGTTTAAACCGCACAATATTAAGTAAGCATTTTAATACGAAATATCGTTGACTTTCATGTAAAGATGAGTTAATCTGAAATTGCTACCTTAAATAGACAGTAGAGAGGAAGATTGGTTTTCGAACAGCTCACATGTCGAACAAATTGGTTTTCGAACAGAAAATTCGAGATGGCCTACAGCATTATTCCATGCAAGGACGAATGGCTGATTTATCGATTTCAAGGATGGACTCAGGTGAGAAAACCTTCAGGCACGACATAGAGAAAAAAAAACCCTTTTCTTGCGGTAGATGAAGCTATAGATTCAATGTATTTGTTCCACTTCAGGTCAGCGGATAGCGTGAGACGAAGCAGTCACAGAGAGGCGCTCTCGTGGTGTCGGGCACCAGCCATTTTGATGGTGGGCAGAGAGGGTTCTCTGTGCTGGGTAAATGAGAGAAGTTTCGTTTTGGATGCATTAAAGTTTACCAGACATTTCCTGCCACAGTCAACCACAGATTGGAAGTCCTGTTCGAGACAAGTGGCTAGGTTAATTTTGTCAGTGATACTAAACTTACTAATGAAGCAGGAGTAGATAGTAGAGTCATCTACGTAGATGCCTATTTGGGAACTGATGATATCAGGAAGATCGTTAATGAAGATCAGAAACAGTGTACGACCCCGGATAGAGCGTTTGGGGAACACAAGCATTCGTGAGAATGGAACTAGAGGAGAACCTGTTTAGGACGACATTCATTTCACGGTTATCGAACAAGATTTCGGTTCTCGAACATCATAACCGAACCGAGTTAACCCGAAAGGAATCATTTCTGAGTTGACCGCCGTTTTGTATACATTCGTGTGTTGTGACGTGCTAGCAAAACCATTGACGGCTTCGTCTCCCCAATTTAACTCAAAAGGCTTAGGTCAACTCGGGTATTGATTTAAGGTACTGTCCGATGGTTACACACGCTGGGATCACCATCATCAACCGTAGTGAAATTCGAACCCTGTTCTCCTTGTCAGAAAACGAAAGTTCTAGCCACTTACTCACGTGCGCATATCTAAATACATAACTCCATAATAAGAAAACGTGACCTCTCCCTTAACCAATAAAATCAAAAGAATGTAAAATTTAAAAATGAATGCAACGCTAAAATTATTCAACTTAAAAAAGTAAGTTAAATAAATAGGGAAACATTTTTAAATGTATAATGTTTATACTTGTTCCATATCCAAACATATACCTGTAAGTAAATGTTTATATATATATATATATATATATATATCTATATATATATATATATATATATATATATATATATATATATGAATTAATTTTTGTGTATTATGTACACGCGCATGCGTAAGAATAGTGGAATGGTATTTAATCGCCTTTGAGAACAAATGCTATTGACTTCCTTATTGTTTTGGACTGGGAGTGTTATTCATCTCGTAAACCAAATATATAACCCTAGCTATTATCTAAAATGGAGAAACACGACAAAAGACATATCACAGACGGATTAGGTGACAAAATGTGACTTTTAACATCTTGTACAAGAGAGAGATGGATAAGTAGATTGATAGAGAGAAAGAAAGAATAAATAAAAAGAGATAGATAGAAAGAAAGAGATAGGCAGACAGATAGAATGAAAGAGAGACACAGAACGAATGAGAGAGATAGATAGAAATAGAAACAAAGAGATAGATAGATAGATAGATAGATAGATAGATAGATAGATAGATAGATAGAAAGATGATAAATCGATAGATATGCGCAAAGATGACAAGAAAATAAAAAGAGATAGATATGCACATCTAACAGATAGAATGAAAGATAGACAGAACGAATGCTAGATAGATAGAAAAAAATAGATAGATAGATAATACGTAGATAGGATAGATGATGGATAGCATTGACAAGCCTTCTTAGTCCTGAATTAGGAGATATCGCAATTATGCTAAGATCGAAAACCCAAGTGTGGAAATTGATCGCCTTTGAAGACACGACCCATAAAATAAATCTTTGACAGACATAACTTATTCTTTAAATAAAATAAAAAAAAAAAAAAACTGAAGTCCCAAATGATTAAGGTTTTCAAATCACTGTATTCTCAACATAAATTGTTTCTACAGTCTCTGATACTGAATACCTATTAATTAATTAATTATTTAATCTACTTTACGTTTTAATATTATTATTATTATTTTGCCATCATTCTTTCAACTTAATTGAGTTCCTCGAATTGTTAAGATGAAAGTTATTGTTTTTTTTTTTTTTTTTTTTTTTTTTTTCGATTTCGTTCTGGTGAAAGGAGAGTTTTTCTGAACTTAACAAATCACGTAATCCTGTGAAAGAAAATTAATTTAGCATTGTGTTGCTAACAATGGCGCTCGGGTTCCTCTTGCTAATGAACTAACGTTATTATATAACGACCCCGTTTAAATTCCAGTATATTTGTCAGCTAAATATCGAATGAAACGTATTGATATTTTGTTTTGTTTTGCTTTGGGAAAGGGGAAATGTAAAAAAAATGTTTCAGAATAAATACATCCGTCTGTTTAATCAGGTACTATTAAATAATTATTCTATATAAACAAATAACAAGCAATGACCAAATACTTCTACCATGAGCAAAATATTTTTGTATGTTAAATCAACCACCCTATCTATTATCATGTACATTTTTTTGTAAACCAAGATCATAGTTTTGAATTAACATTGGCCACGATCCTAAATAAGGAACTTTTTGTGGAAAAAGAAATTCTTTATTTTTTTATTCAAAGAAGAGCGTCTTTCTGTTCCAGTCAAAATAAGTTCGTGACGAGACGAGAATAAAAAAGAACCTAACAAGCACGAAGTCTATTGCATCATTGCTATATTAAGACGATTACGTTTGTGTTTCTACAGGAATATATCGATGTTTATGGATTTCATGCAAATACTGACGTCTGGCTTTCTATATAGACATCTATAGGATGTCATGTTTATCTAATTGTTTGTATATCTATTCATGGAAAAGAGAAAATACAAATATTCCGCAAAAGGACCTTACACATATACACGCGCGCGCACAATTACACATATATATATATATATATATATATATATATATATATATATATATAAAGTCTATTACTACATTGGTTTCAACCTTTCGATTTCTTCATGCGATTTCAGTCAATTGATTTCTGAAGGCGTTACATTTTTAATTTTATGAAGGTAATACTAAACAAAAATAAATAAAGGCACAACAAGAGGTGTGATAGAAGAGGAGGAGGATGAGGAGGAAAGCAAGTGTATTGGAAATGCATTTGTGGGAGGCAAATCAAATGTACATGCTTTCTTTCCCTCCCAGTCCCTAAAGTTCGAAAGGAATTTTTAGTACGTATACAACGGGTCATAATTTCCAATCTCTCATTCGAAAGTTGTTTTTTTTTTTTTGCTTTTTGTTTTGGTCTGAAAATGTTATTATTATCATTAATTTTCCAGTTTACAATCGGATCTTTTTTTATTTTTTTTCCCTTTAATTTCGACACATGTTTGGTTAGTTTAGTAGAATTCCTAAGACTTTCTGGCTTAAAAGATGACTTGTGGTTGTACCACCTCTTTTTCTAGTTACTACCAGTACACCATATGTAAATTACTGAAATTAAATTATTAAATCAAATGCTTTAAGATCCACTTCTGGTTCCAGACTTCCTTCATTAATCTAAGAACAAAAACTAAAGTATTTAAGAACCTCACACATATTGAGGCATCCCTTCTGTATTCATTATAATGAAGGTACTAATGACTACTATATTAACTAGCCTATCACCATTCTATGAAACTCAGCCCCTAATGACCCTATTTGGCTTTCTTTTAATAAGTATCATTCATATAACCTCATTTTATACCCACTATATTTACCGCACGGTAGCATGTGACCATATCAATAGTTTTTCCTCTTGTCGTGCATTAGAAACCGGCTTCCTAGTTGTGAACCTTGTGAATGTATAAATGCCAGAGAGGAAATATGTATATATTGGTGCATAAAGTCTGATGATGAAAACAAAACATTTAAAACCTTATCAGATGTAGAAGAAGGAATAGCGAGATTCAGTCTATTTAATCTTTTCCTAGACTAAACTCTGCCCATATATAAACAGAGATTTGAAGAGATGGGTTTAGATCATTTAAACATTGCGTACAACATTTTATACGAATAGAAAAACTGTATTTCTATTTTCCTTCATCATGTGTAATACATGTTCACAAGCTCGCGTCAGGCGTCATATTAATAACCACTACGCAACGTTGATTACTATATCCGCATTGTGTATATCTATACCTATGTCACATTCAATAGAAAGGACACGGAATGTTTGTCATGCATTTAGGTGAATTGCTCCTCGTTTTAAATAAGTCATTTGATGTTGGGTTGATAATTGTAATGAACTTGACGCGTATGTTCCACGTACTACGTTATTTTCAAGAAAAATAGAGAACATTCGAGAGATGGCCCTGCATAATATTTCAACTTAATAACAAGATTTATTCATAAAATATAATTAATTTGAAAAACTACTGTTTTGTACCAAATCT